CACACACACACACACACACACACACACACACACACACACACACACACACACACACACACACACACACACACACACACACACACACACACACACACACACACACACACACACACACACACACACACACACACACACACACACACACACACACACACACACACACACACACACACACACACACACACACACACACACACACACACACACACACACACACACACACACACACACACACACACACACACACACACACACACACACACACACACACACACACACACACACACACACACACACACACACACACACACACACACACACACACACACACACACACACACACACACACACACACACACACACACACACACACACACACACACACACACACACACACACACACACACACACACACACACACACACACACACACACACACACACACACACACACACACACACACACACACACACACACACACACACACACACACACACACACACACACACACACACACACACACACACACACACACACACACACACACACACACACACACACACACACACACACACACACACACACACACACACACACACACACACACACACACACACACACACACACACACACACACACACACACACACACACACACACACACACACACACACACACACACACACACACACACACACACACACACACACACACACACACACACACACACACACACACACACACACACACACACACACACACACACACACACACACACACACACACACACACACACACAGACAGACAGACATCATCGCGAAAATAGTCAAAACGGATTCAGGGGACCTCAAAACGTAAAAATCCGTCGAAAACTCGAGGTCGAAAAAAATCATGATTCCTATACTTTCCTTATATCTGTATACAGATAGGAAAGTAAAAAGTGAATGTGTGGTGTGGTATTATTGAAAATAAAATCATTGGGCCTTACCTTTTTGATGACTATCTGACAGGAGAAGGATATTTATATTTTTTAACAAATTTTTTGGTACCTCAATTACAAGTTCTGTATCCTGATAATAACAATCCAGATGAAACAGATAGAAATGTTTGCTTCCACCACATTTTGCACGTGGAGTGAGAGACTACTTGGATGAAGTATTTCCTAACAGATGGATTGGCAGGCGTGGAGCCATTATATGGCCACCTCGATCTCCCGATTTAACGCCGCTTGATTATTTTCTCTGGTGCCACTTAAAGTCTCAAGTGTATTTAAATCGACCGGAGACTATTGACGAATTAAAAGAAAGAATCACCGAAGAAATTGAAAAAATTGGCCCGGACGTCATACAAAATGTTCTTCAAGAAATTAATAACCGCATTGGTTATTGTCAAGAAGTTAACGGCAGTCATTTTGAACATTTAATACCATAAAATTTTAGTATTATTAATAGAATAGTTAAAAATAAAAATTGATGTTTCTTGAATATAAATGTACAAAAAATAAAAAATCTTATACTGCTGAATAGGGAATTAAAAACCCTTTGAAATGAGGTATCACACGCTAACCCTTTCTATTTAAAAAAATTAAAGAGGTGACTTTTATTCCGAAGGGGTTGAAGGCGGAGATAAATAATTTTGTTTAAAAAATCTTATTTTAGTAATTAAAATCGACCTGTTCAAGGATTTTTTTCAAAACGTAATAAGCCAATAATTAATATATTCCACAAATATGGACCACCCTGTATAATAACACGTGGTGTTACAAATTAGATCTGGCTAACTAATATTTTATTAAAAATATCATATATTTAAAATAAATAATTTAAAAAATATTCAAAATAGCGAAAAATGGGATATCTGGTATAATATTACATAATAAACAAATAATATTCGGTTTATTCCTACCCTTAGATTCAACACTGATATCGATACATTTTCCATATTATGGTGCTTACTTTTTGTAAATTAAATTTTCATATTCTTTAATAGCAAATCAAATAAATCCAAAAATTAAATTTTTTAAATGAAAAATGCGTTTCCTTCTAATAATTTTCTTTCATTTCCGAAAGAAATAGGGAAAAATAAGAGCAAATACAACTTTTAATAGCTACCCTGTATATATTATAACCAAAACATTTTTTAGTCGCGTGTACTTAGCTCACAATACAACGAAAAACTTGGATTCCACCCAAAATATTTATTAAAATATTTTAATAATAAAATATTATTTGATACAATTTCTTTTAACACCCTCTTCTTAATAATTTTCAATCTAATCAGAACTATTTAGTTTAATTTACCTATAGGTACATTTATTTATCTACCATACCTACGTGTACCCCATGTATTTTTATGATATATTTATCTACCGACTATACAAATACCCAAACAAATCCATAAAAAATCTTTCATTATACCTAGGTATGAATTATTTATAATTTATAGAATCTTAAATATTGTAACAGATATTTCTACCTAAAAAAATAAGATGCCAGTAACTCTTACCTTATACCTATAATATTAATTTAGTCTCTTAGATCTGCCTTACAAACTACTTCAAAATCTTTATCTAATTACCATAAAAATAACTAAGTATTTATTAAAAAAATTCTATACGACATAATCAAGATTTGTCTTGCAAATTGACAGACACAACAGAGCGCACTAGATTCTAGGTAAATTATTTCAAAATTACGTCCTTGCTAGAATTTTCGAAATAGAATTGTGGGGGTAATAAAGATAAATGCATTTATGGATCTCAAAATGAAATTTTGAATCATAATTAATCAAATTCTTTTAAGAAAATGCCACCTGAGAACAGTTCAAATCAACTCGACGATGACGCTTAGCGATTTTGAAAGTCAAATTAAAGAAAATTAAATCAAAATACATACCTAGCAAAATTGTTGCAATTAGGATGAAATACACAGAATATTCACAATAGAAATATTAAAGTTTAGTTTATATTTTAAGAAATGTTATAAACACACACGCACGCCAGCCATTTCGAAACGAAAAGAAAGAAATGCATATTAGGCATTCCAACGACCTGTCAAACAATACCTGCCAGTGGGAAGGTCTCGTATATCTAAGGGGGGTAGCGACATAGTCTTGCATCTTGGACGCTATTTTTATTCGAAATATCAGTCGCCAATCCTACCAGTTTTTAAAAAAATGTACAAGCAGTTTTTTAGTTAATATTTTTATTGTGTTTGACATAAAATATTTAAATGTAATCCATTATTCATGATTTTACGTATTGTAGATAGAATACATCGTATGTCGCAACCGTCAGATCTACCAAACCTGCCCACTGGCAATTCATTTGTTTGGAATGCCTAATTAATAGTACATAATATTGAAGATGCATTAGAAATTATAATTTTAGAAGGTTTAGATGACTATTGTATTAATATTTAATATTAAAAAACTTCGAACGGATACGAATGTCGGCGAACGTACCCGAAAGCTATAAAGTTGCCACTTACTGCTGTCCTTAAACATCCACAATTAAAGACAGGCACAATCTTTATTAAAGTCAGTTCTAAAATGTAAGTAATCTACGCATGCTCAGATGTCAAAATAAGAGCGGCCGTCTTCAAACTCGCGATATTTATATCAAGCCAACTCTGTAACCAGAATACTCTAGACGGTCCCGAAAATTCCATCTCTGACTCAACGGCACTCTCCGCCTGTTCTAGACGTTTCTAGTGCGTCAGCGGCATTCCTGGGAGATTCCGTCGTTTCGAGCATGAGTCGGGTGCCAAGTTGTTTTAGACAGGGTCGGCTTTAGGATTTTCATGACAGTTCTTCTAAAAAAACTAATGAAGAATATCATTAAAATACAGTGGCGCATCCACAGTTTAAGTCTAGGTGGGTGGTGCTAATATTTAACACTTGATTTTGCATAATATATTTTAGTACTAATAAAAAGCAGGTATAAACATCCTTGTTAGAGAAATTACCCCCATTCGCCCCCCTTTTCCGCCCCTGTTAATAGGTACGTTCCTATTTCAGGAACACATTTACAAGAACATGCAGCCGAAGATGTTGAAGAATACGTCAGAAAAAAAATTTGAAGAACTACTTTCTAAAGTTCAGTTAAAAATTGCTAAAAAAAGATACCTACAACTATGCGTTAAAGCATATACTCCCAGCAGCTAAAAACTAAATTGAGATATTTGGCAACAGGATATTCAGTACCTCAAATTTTATGTATCGAGTAATCGAGCGCCAAAAAATACTATTTATATTAAAAATTAGAGATGTTAAACTTGAAACAACTCTTTTAAAATTTAGTAAGGACATCTCAAATTTAAATAAAAAAAAAAAGACATTTTATTCATAAATGTAGTATAGGTGGTGCCATCTTTCATATTATTGAACAAATATATTTAATTGTGATCTCTGATTGTGATTTTGAGAGATTTCGTCGCCGTTTTTAGTCCAGAAATTTTCATTTGTGTTTCTTTCCGTTTTATTGACTTTGTGCCTTCCAAAAAGTTTATTGCTTTAAATATTGATTATTTATATTGTGTACAATGTACAATATTCTCATTATTATTTGTTAACTTTAATTGATTTAAGAATGAAAAATAGATATAGCGCCATCTTCAAATAACTGTCTAAAACTCTTAGACAGGGAGAAATAGTAAATACCAAATTTCCTGTTTTTCAATGGTTCCCATATTTTTTATTTGAAATCTTTACTAGATATTGATTTTTCATAAACACCAGTACATAGTACCAGTACATAGTGTTTTTGATATTTTATCAAAATAAATGTGATGTTAATTAATTTCAAAAGTAAAATTGTATTAGCGACATCTATCGGTTTATATGTATTTTATATAATTATCGTTGAATTGTAGTTCTCTAATTTTCCTGAATGACTTTTATTGTGACAGTTGACAGTTTCATTGACGTAGGCAAAATAAAATTCGTAATCTTGTGTAAATAAATAATAAATATTTTAATTTGTTGCAGAAAAGTTCACGATTACGTTCGTGCCTATGTAACTCCCCCAAATTGTGATTTTTATCTTAATTTTTAATTAGTAGGTATAAGGTGAGTTGTACGAAAATGGCGTGGACGAATTACCAAAAATTGTTGGCAGTTGTTATGGTTGTTACTGGGAGTATTAATACGATAAGTACAAAGTAAGTTTTTTAAGGTTATCTATTTTTCATTTCTTTTGTACGTATCAAATTACCTTTGGATAATTTTTGTTTACATAAAAGATCACGTCCAAAGTTCCGAAGAATTTAATATTTTATTTCACTGAATCATAATTTTCTTTTATTAAATTTTAATTACATATTGTAAAATTACAAATAATTTTCCTTTTAGATGGGCGGACGATATAAAATCGGTAGGCAGAGATGGGGTTTTAAAGAAATTCGATCACCCTTTTTTCCAAGCTAGTACAATGTTTTTAGGCGAATTAGCATGTCTTTTAACCTTTAAAATCTTATATCGGTACTACAGTAGAAGATCGGTAGGTTTTGGCAAATTTATAGATTAGATTTACATATAATGATAAACAAATTTATGTACAGGACGGAACTGAAGATGTCAATGAATTGACCAAAGGGAACCGAAACTTCAACCCTTTTATTCTTTTCATACCTGCCATGTGTGATATGACAGCAACCTCGATTATGTACATAGGGCTTAATTTAACCTACGCCTCAAGTTTCCAAATGTTCAGAGGGTCTGTAATAGTTTTTGTGGGACTTCTCAGTACGGGTTTCTTGGACAGAATTTTGAATAGGAGACAGTGGAGTGGAATCTTTTTGGTTATAATAGGGCTTGCCATTGTTGGAATTGCCGATTTTATATATAAAGGGACTGATAATAAGTCTAGGAATGATATAATTACAGGTTTGTTATTATAGAGAAAAAATATATTTAAATTCACAATCTCTATAATAATTTTTTAGGTGATATGTTGATTGTGATAGCCCAAATTATTCAATCTATCCAAATGGTGGTTGAAGAAAAATTCGTAGCAGGCCAGGACATTCCTCCTCTACAAGCAGTTGGTTGGGAAGGTAAAAAAATGTTTTATTTTTTATTTATTATAGTCTCTATTGGTTTAATAATTTTTAGGACTTTTTGGCTTTTGTGTGTTAGTTTTCCTCCAAATTCCATTCTATTTCATCAGAGCTGGTCCTCCAGTTACCACAAACATTGGGGATCGCTTGGAAGATCCCATAGATGCCCTAGTTCAAATCGGGCATAGCTGGAAATTAACATTAGCTGTTTTAGGTTAGTTTTTTTTTTAATAATACCCATCTTCGATACAAATTAAACTGTTTCAGGTACGATATTTTCCATTGCTTTCTTCAATTTTGCTGGTATCAGTGTCACAAAGGAGCTGTCAGCTACCACTAGAATGGTATTGGACAGTGTAAGGACTATCATAATTTGGGTATTCAGTTTGGCTTTCTTCGGACAGCACTTTCACTGGTTACAGGTGAGTTTTTACAAGTTTTCAGGCAATTTCACTTCTTTACACCATCTTTAGATCTCCATTCTGCCTATATAATTGCTTCTGATAGTTGACATTTAAACAGACATTGAAAGTTGATACAGATATCAATAGATGTCCAATAGTAAGGGTATTGTACGATTTTAATTGAAATATTGGTTATTAGGTCCAAAATTAACCACTTTGATAACTATTTTTATTAATATCTTAGATAATAATCTTTGAGTGATACGAGACATGTCACAAAAAATTACAAACATGTTTTTTTTATAATAAAACATACAATGTTTACATAGGTTTGAAAAATATAATAAAAATTTATAAATAATTTAAAAATTCATCTGAGTAGAAACAGCCTTCAATTAAAAAGACTTTAAGGGCCTTAGGTGGTTTTAATTTTTATTGCCAAAAAAAAGGAATGTGAAAATTGAAAAAATTGACTGTGTGCCTTTACAAATTTTCATCTCTTCAAATTGGATTTGATTGGTACTTTCCATAGAATTCTGGCTACGAAAATGTTCCCACACAGCAAAAAACTTATCTCATGAGTAAGCAAGACGACTCAATATTTCTTAGGTGCAGAATTTAGGTGGTTGCTGAGTATCTACTTGACTATGAGGTCTTTTTAATATCTGTGTCTGCTTAGGTATTTATTCTTAAATTGTGGCCTCCTGAAGCTACAATCTACTTAAAATGGACTAAGTTCCTTAGTTTGAAATGGTGATGTGATTAGGGCTCTTCAGTGATAGTGCATCTCAGAAATAAGACAAGACAAAAAATCTTTTGAGGTTCCAGGATCATAGATCTGAGGTCCATGGTCAAAAAACAAAAGAGGTATTCGACGTCTCATTTTCGTTTATACGAAATGAGAGTAAACCCAATTTAAATAACTTCAGAAACTAATTGATATTTTACTGACTCTATAATTAAAATGAAACGTTATTAAATCAGTTACAATAATTAAATTAAATCCTCACCCAAATGATCAAAACAAATCAAATTTATTGCAAAATTTAATGAACCAAATCCTTAAAGGAACGCCATCAAAAAAATGTCCAGAATAAATCAAATTTATTGCAATATTTAATGAACGAAATCTTTTTTTTATCCTAACTTAATTTGATTGTGAAAACCCAATAAATTCTTAACGAATTTTCTTTTGCTATGTTGAGCACAAACAAAAAAATAAAAATGGCTGCTCAGATTTTAAATAATTTGCAAAAAAGCAATAGAAAAAAATATTTATTATTACCCTTTTGACAAAAACTTAGATTAAAGAGACCGGAGATGTAGCTTTGAACACAGTACATATCTAATTCAGCATTATGTAACTTGGAAAACTGGGCCCTAACCTAGTGTTCCAAATACCCTTAACCTTGGCCTAAATTTCGTCTAGTGGATCCCCATGAAGTGATGTTAAAACCCACAGAATTACGTTTAGAGTTCAGTGTAGCTGTAATGGAGGAAGAACAAAGTAAATACAGACTACTTTTGAATACTGTTTATTTAACATATATTCTTTGGTACAGCTGGACATTTAGATTATGTGCCGTTTTTAAGCTTAACATTATGGTTATGTAGGCTTTCCTATGTGTCATTTCTAACCTCAGAGCTTTTAGTTCCCATAAAAGGGTAAAATAAAAGTCGGAAGTACTTTGGTATATTTGTTTCTCTCCTAATATACAATCACACCTTTCCACGGAAATACTGAATTCCGCATTGTTTAATAAGAGAGTACAGCGGTAGCACGCAGAGTTCCGCGAGGGATAGAGTAATATGTGTAAAAACCGAAGTGTAGATTTACCTCACCGTGCGTCACGCCTCTCACTAATATTCCAATGCCGTAATGTACTGACATACTCAGTAGAACACCTGATATAAAGGGGGACGCCCGTCAGGCCCACTTTTGGGGTATCTCAGTAGAAATCCATCCTGCCTCTATCAGGCTTTAATTTATATAGCCGCAAGGGAAATACCATTTTTAAGCCCTTACTATTGAGGTCCCTGGCGGTCTATGGTGACCTAAGGCTCTTTTTCGGCGTAAGGCTCTTTTGCTCTGTCGATCGACAAATCATTGTTATTAATCGCAGTTCTGAGGATACGTTAGGTAGTCCACAAACACAATTTCACCTATTTACTCTAAATAAATAACAAACATACCGACTACTTCCGCGTAATGTCCCGCTAAAGATATGTGAATATGTTCAAATAAATTCGACCCTCCTCAATATTCATGATTCTACCCGCCGCTGTACATATCCCCTTTTTCCCGAAAAATCAATCTACAAAACTAACACTCCTTACGGCTAAAATGACACATTCGTCTACCCAATTTTGTTTTACAATAAAGGACAGAAAACGTTTTTTTTTAACCACATCTAACTTTAAAATATATACAAATCAAGGCATTTACCCTACTAATCTACATATGTTTGCCATTTAAAAGTAAAATCGAAAGTCCGTTTCCTCTTTACTGAAAGGGGCAGGTAGGTACTGTTTACAGGCAACCAAAACTTTACAATTCCGCCCTTTGGCCATAAATTTAAATGATTTAATTTATTACTTGAGAGTGTTGACCGACTTAACAACAATTAATATTTATCACAACATCACTATCGATTCTCTAAATAGTATAATTTAGCACAATATAAAAACTATATAATTTTTCCCACAGTAAACGTTTATCAATGAATACCAAAATATGACAATAACACACAGACGCGAATTTTCCCGCTAATGAATATAAAAGTAATAAAGTGATACCTGTAATCCATCAATGTTAGTCTAAACTCTCCCCCGGAATATATGAATATTAAATACTAGTTTGATTACTTTAATAGTGCGATTATCGTTTTAATTCTACGTAAAAGGAACCTTACAGAAAAAAAGTATACCGCTGATAAAAGCGTCTACCTGGCGCAAGTTCGTCGGGTCAGCCTCAAGGCTTGATTTTTAAGAACATTCCGTCGCGAACTTTGCCGACGAAGTTCGATGATGGTGGGTGAGGTTTTCCGGGTTTTCCTCACCTGTAAGTCAAATGACACCATCAATCATCTTTAAGTCGCCCCGGAGCGCCACGGCAAATAATAATAATAATAATAGCCGTCCGTCCCTTCCCCTACACAAGTCGTTCAGTCGACTTCAGGGGTTGAAATTCACTCGTAAGGGGGTGAATTAGGGAGAGTATTATTATTATTATTATTATTATTTATCGTCGACGGAATGCGTTCGCGAAGTTCGCCGTATTTAAAAATGTACTATCCAAACCATCCGTTTTTTAACACCTGTTGCGCGTTTATTTTTAACGGAATGCGCTGGCGTTGTCCGTTGGAATCAAAACATATTTGGTGTCAGCTCAATTCCGCTGTCAGTTCTTGTTTGAAATTTGTGAGGTATGGACATTAAAATTATAAAAAATGCCCAATAAAAGTTATCAACAGCTCCAATTTTCCAACGAAAATGAGGAGAAAATGATAGATCTGGTGAAAAACACCCTCCTTCGTATGGTGTCAAAAACAAAAGTTACAGGGACATACAATTAAAAGAAAATATATGGAAAACAATTGCACATGTATGGACAGCACCAACAGAGATCAGTTTTCTATCTACAGTTATCTTCACCAACATACTCCATACATTCTTCTAGTAGCGCAGTTACATCACCGTCTGGTACCATACCACATACACCCAGTTCCATCGCGATCGGCGACGGCAGTAATACACCCCATCATGAGCAAACATACGGCAATTTTTCAGTGGAGGCACAACCAAATATTTTTGGTTAATTTTACTTATTCTATAGTCATTGTTAAACTAACTTACCTTAAAGTTATACTTAGTTTTTCTTCTGTGTGCCTATTGCAAGGTTTCGTTTCTATATCATTTCTAATATAACTTAGAACATCATCAAATAAAACTGGCGTCAATAAAAAATATTCTCGAAATTTTTCATTTTTTAAAAAAATGTCGTTTACTTAGTACTTCATAGACTCCTTCTGATTTTTTTTTTTTAAAGTGTTTTTTTTTTATTTTTTAATTATCTCCAGCAGCAACTCGTCTTCTTCATCAGCAAATTCTTCCTCTAATAAAATCTGTAAAATCCCTCCATAGCCACAGCACAGATTGTAAACTTCTTATTTGCGTACTGAAATTGATCATTTCCGTCCAATTAAACGGTCAATCTGTCTTCTTAAAAAACACGGTATCGTACGAACTTTGCGAAAGGAATTCGCGAACGCATTCTGTCGACGAACTTCGTCGGAAAATTTCGTGACGGAAGGTTCTTAAAAACCAAGGCTTTAAGGGTGACGAAATCCACTACGAACGTCGCCTAGAGTAGTACTTTTAATCATTTAGTAACATTTTATAATGTTGAATCGGAGATATAAAATATCTGGCGTTTAACTAGACTAGCGTGGTATCAGCAGTATCAGTTACGCCAATATTTTAGTCGCTCGGTAGATACAACCTTACAAAACAGTTCTAGGCGCGAAATCTAGTTCTATTCAACGTATATCTGCTTGGTCAACTTGACTATATATCTCCTTTTACTTATATATAAAATATAAGAAAAATCTGGTCATCTTAAAGACAACTGGATATCTATGCAGAAGCCGTCGTTTATAGAAACTAATTTCTCTACCCCGTCGATATCTTTTATTTCCTTTCTCAAAATATAACAAAAGCGCGGTCACCGTAAGGGTAGCGATATCTCTTTTTAATTATATTTGAAGAATATAAAGAAAAAGGAGTCACCGTAGCGGTAACGTGGATATTTGCGTTTTTTGTTAACTTGACTCGGTGAAGTTGAAAAAGCTAATCCCCCAGCCCACAGAAACCGTGGTATTTATACTTAAATTTCCCATATATGCAAATGTATCGGAAAGAGAACGACTGTGAATTCGGTGTATAAAAACTATAAAGCCCTGTATTTATTCCGGTATATGGCCCTATCGTTTTACATCTGGTGTTTTGCTATCAGCCGTTACAGTTTACACGTCGATTTTTTTTTCCAGAAGTAATTAAACGGCGCCTACGAGTCGGGAGATGCCGGGATGTTGTTTGAATTCGAAATAATAATTTGAATACAATATTATGTAATATATAAGAATCATTTAAATTAATTATCAACCCCCGGTTGTCGGATTTCACAGTTGTATAAGTGTTTATTATTTTGTTTTTGTGTATCGCGGAAGCAGTCGTCGAGGGAACTACAATCTATATGTATAATATAGTTTACGGTGTTGTAAATTTCTTTTAAAATACAATGCCTATTAGGAAATTATTATCATTATAACGCGGTACACACGCGGCTAAAACGCTGTGGGCCACCTGCGCACACTGGCTTGACAACATAGCTTGCTATGGACGGTGCGTGTCGGTACCTGCAAAATATTCTTGCTGTGAAATTGTTGACGTTCCTGTCTAGTGGGCGTTGTCGCATAACATGCAAAGAATATTTGTTTGTATGTGTGGATACGGCCCATTACTCCTGACCATACTAGGACCGTAACCGTATCGACACATACAAACAAATATTCTTTACATGTTTTGATACGCGACAACGTCCACTAGACCGTTCCGTCACCGGCCAACATCGTAGCGTGCCATGACAGGACCGTTAACAATTTCACGGCGAGAATATTTTGCAGGCACCGATACGCACCGTCCATTACAAGCTATGTTGTATGTGAGGAAAAAACGCTGTTGGTTCGTTGCACTGGGCCCAGTAGTGACCGGAGTGCTTTCTTTCGTGCCTGGCACTTTCCTGTTATGGTCATGGTATGGTACGCTGTAGTGGGCAGAGAGCTTTAATCTAACTATCTAGCATTCGATCGGCGCCGATGACGTAACGTACCTGCCTCGCCATTACAAAAAAGACGGGGGGGGGGGGGCAATTTATTCGAAATAAAAGTTGTTAACTCGTTAACTGAAATTAAAGCTAGGTTATAAAAAAAATGGGTTAAATAATCTGGCGTGGATCATAGTTTCTCTCCCTCTTAAATTTCTGTAATATAACAAGGACAAATAGTTCGCTATTGTCTACAGGGGGGCTATTTTCAAACTCGAGAGAATTCATTTCTCTCTAGAGAAATGTCATACGTCAACGTATTTTTAGAGCCCTTAGGGCCAGGTGTGAACTCACTGACTGTTTCTCTCGGTTTATTTAGGGTAAGTTCGGTTTGGAACTTGGCGGATCGGACAGAGCGCGCACGGAGTGCGTGACGTCATAGCCAGAGTTCGCTCTTTTTACAATCTCAAAACGAACACAAGAGGAATGACAAATGACACTAGTGATAGTTTACACTTGAATACACTTTTGTTTGTGTGTATGGACTGTAAAAAAATAATTTTAATCAAATAGGAAACAGTTATAACAAAAACAAACAAGAAATAATACGTGTAAAACTGATTAATCGCCGATCAGAATATTGACATTTGACATTTTTGACACATTCTTACAGATACTCGCCGATCTCCATCGGCCAACTCGCGCTCCGAGTACGTGATCTGTGGCAAGCCGAACACAAAAGAGTACGCTCTGAGTGCCAAAACGACCACAATTGAGGCATACCGAGTGCACTCGAAGTACAGCGAACGCCAAACCGAACTTAGCCTTAGAGATAATTAAAATTCTCTTAAGAATTTTAATCCTCGAGGCCTTTATAAACATCGTTTCCACATTGACATTTCTGATGAGAATCTTGAGAGAAATGGGTGCTCCCATACTTTGAAAATAGCCTCCCTGGTGTACGTACCACTAAAGAGGTTTTCATTTCTGTTGTATTCTGTTAACACCCGGTTACAGTGTAATTTTTATTTAATGTTTTTTAAATATTTTCTAAACGTGAATGTTGATATATCATTGAAGTATTTTTGTTCTAGTTACTCGGATTTGTGCTTCTTCTCGCCGGTCTGTCACTATACAACGGTATTACTGGCAGATCATTAATAATACAAATAAAAACCTTCATCAATAGCAGAAGATACAATAGGGTTGAAGAAGATGGTATAGTAAATAGAAATGCAGATGATACCGAATCTTAAATTATATGAAATTAAATCTGGCTGTATTAACCCAGCATTATTTGTATGTTACTTTTTTAATCGAATGACGATTTTTTATTATTTTTAACTTGGAATTTTACTGTAAATACCTATAATTAATAAGTGTAATTAATGTGACAGCCTGTATAATAAAAGTGGACTGACAATTAATTGAATGAAATGATAAAAAAATGTGATTTTTTTTATATACCATTGTTAAAATTATAATATGTATGTAAATTAATTTTAAAAATAAAAGTTTTGATTGAATTATTTGCATTTTTAAATTTATACTTACGTCATCTGTCAAACGTCATTTATTACAAGTATTAATACCAAATGACACATGTCAATGTCACCCGAATAATAGACAATTTCAGTTGTATCGATTTATTTTATATTAGAAAAATAAAACATTTACAAAGAGAGCTTTCATTTATTTAAAATATACAATATTTACACATGAAAACATATTTTAAGCAAAATACACATTTAAAGACAGAAAAAATCTTGTCACTTGTCAATCGCTTAATGACAATTGACAGTCTACACAATAAGAGTGGAATCAAAACAATCAAATTATTAAGGGCCATTTGCACAACTATACCTATATTTACGTCATCTATCAAATGTCATTCGTTACATGTGATATTAATAGAAAATTACATAAGTCAACGTCGCTCGAATAAAATACAATTTCAGTCGTATAGATTTATTTTTCATTACAAAAAAGTAAAAAAATGTACAAAACATTTACAAAGAGCTTTCATTTATTTAAAATATACAATATTTACACATGGAAACAAACTAAAGTTTCTTTCATTCAAAATAGACATTAAACAATCTTATGTCACTTGTCAATCGATTAACGACAATTGACAGTCTACATAATAAAAATGGAACCAAGATAGTCAAATTATTAAGGGCCATTTGCACTATTGTATATTGTTTATACCCATATTTACGTCATCTGTCAAACGTCATTTATTACAAGTATTAACAGCAAATGACACATGTCAAGGAGACGAATAAAAGACAATTTCAGTTATATAAATTTATTTTTCATTAGAAAAAAAAGTAAAAAATTGTACAAAACATTTACAAAGAGAGCCTTCATTTATTTAAAATATACAATATTTACACATCAAAACAAACTATTTAAAGTTTCTTTTATGCAAAATACACATTAAACAATCGTATGTCACTTGTCAATCGCTTAACGACAATTGACAGTCTACACAATAAAAATGGAACAGAAACAATCAAATTATTAAAGGCCGTTTGCACAGCTACTCGTTCAGAAACAAGCGCAGCTTAAAATAACATTTGTAATAAAAAAATGTAATTTTAAGCTTTTAGTATATTTCTTAACGACCAGAGCTGCAAATAGAACTAATAATTTTTGTCACTAAAATTAAGTTACAACGTTAAAATTTCCTACTATTAAACATTTTTCTAAATGATCAAATATAAAGTAAAAGTCAAGCTAGATCGTAACCCAACAAATCTTCTAACCCGTACCCGAACAATTTAAAATCAGCTTCGTACAACCTATACAAAGCCTCAATCTCGTAAATACTCAATTGCTGAAAATAAAATCTCAAATTATCTTTCGTCCTCTTCGATCTAGTCACCGGAAACGACACAGATGGCGCGTTAACCATGTTCAAAATGGTGGCGGCGTCGTCTAAGATGGTTTCGTAATGACTGACGAAGGTGTAGTTCAACGTGCAAGGCAAACATAGCTCGTAAACTGGCGCCCAATGTTCGTTGCTGAGAACTCCTTCCTTTATAAGATATCGAATGAATTCTCTGAAAGTCACGTTCGCGCCCGATTCCAAGTCTTCAGGCGCGGGATTTTTGCGGTATTTCTGAATTATGTACTTTCCATATCGATACTACGAAAAAAAAGAAAATTTTTAGGATAAAAATGTAAAATAATTGAACAAAACGCTTTTGACAACTGACATTTCGAGTTAAAATTTATGTCAATCGTAAAAAGAACCAGAAGAACATTGACAATTATTAACAGACTACTTTGAACTAAAATTGGGCAGTATTGGAGACAAAGTCAGATTAGCCCAGGAAAAACTCCTTCAAATACAGCTGACAATTGACATTTAACTAAAATGTAAAAAAAAAAACTTAAATACTTACTTTAAAATACTTATTGGTAGGCGTATTGTCTAAGAACTTGTTTCTATAAGCCGAAAGCAGCCTTTCGAATGGATGCCTGACTACTAAAAATAACGTGTAATCTCTTAAACATGAATCCGCCTCTGCTTGCGTCAATTGGGACAATTTTAAAGTCGAATTATCCATATGGGCCACGTTGGCCGATATTTGAACGGGATGTTTGGTATCCGAGTCGCCAGTCAAAACCATAAGGACCTGAAATGGTTTATTGATGACGAGTGACAATTCGACACATCATTAGAGCACTTACCCTCTTCCAATTCGTACAAGCAACTTTAGGAACGTAGCAATACAACAATTTGTGATTATGATCGACCAGAATGTGATTCAATTTATCTATAGCTAATTTTTTCTTATATCTCAATCCCATATTATCACAGCCTACTAATAATTGTTCCTGCCTAGCGATTTGATCCAGCCAGGGGTATCTACTGCCCTCAAGAGCTATAAAAAAAATAGAAAATTCGTTTATCTAGCAATTTGTAGATTTTTGAGAACCATACCTGCCAGAGGGATAATTACGAGAGCCAAAATGGGGCTCCACTTTAAATTCGAACGTTTTATTGACATATTTAGTCAGCATGACTCGCTCTTTGACGAGTCCTTCCTCAGCCGCTTCACGAATCTGATTTGAGACCTATTGACTATTCCTAAAAGATCGTTTTACAGTAAAATAATTACAAATTTATCGTCGAATTTACCGTATTCTGACACCTCTCGGTTGTCGTCTCTCATGACTTGTCCGTTTTGGATGTTCTGGAAGTGGTAGGTCCTCCAGACATAGTTCCAACTGATTTTCGTTTTGATTCTTTGACGCTGTTGCTTTAGAGTGAACGCGCGCCTGTAGGCTTTCTTTAGGTCCAGGACTGAGGTGCCTTTTTGGGGTATCTGTTAACAAAATACCAGAGTTTATCGAATAATACTATTACACAAAGGTACTGGGTGGAAATACATGTAGATATTAAAGCAGATTATTGAAAACAATTAATAGGTCTAACTACTGTAATTAATATACTATTAAGGGATGAAGGCAGCACTGTTACCAGCCAAAAGCTCCTGGAGTCCAGAAGGAACATCCCTTCACCAGTAGCAAAAAAGATAAAATTAAAAAAAACAAAATTATCCCTTAATACAGCGTTTCTCAACCTGTGGGGTGCGCCATCCCCCAGCACATCAAAATGAAAAAAAAAAACTATAATTACTATTTAAAAAATCTGATGTGTCCAACACATGACTTTCCTATCTAGTTATTACAGGCTTTTTCCGGTTATTTTGTACAATCTATTGCAGCACATCCATAAATGTTTAGAGGATAAAATAAATATATACATTTTCCACATTCATCTACCTCGAAACATTTTTCTATAGATATTCATTGAAAATGAAAATACTGAAAAATTTAAATTTAGCACTTTTCCTACAATTTTTCCATTACGGTCCATTTTAGAAAAATCATGTATAAAGAAAAATTATAGAGATCGATATCGCAAACAACTTTTATTTCAACAATTTTCATAAAAATCGGAATTTTGCACATTTTGTCAAATTTCTCGAATACGGACCATTTCAGGAAATTTTGACATTAGACAAAAATTATAGATAATTATATTAGAAATAACTTTTATTTGAACAATTTTTTTCTCCAAACATAAATAACAGATATATTCCATAAAATATAAAAACGCCCCCCCATAAAGTAGGGGGTACTTTATCTTTACATCTGGGGGGGGCAGATGTTCCGACTTTGTCCAAAATCTAATCATTTCACGTCAGGCCGAAATAAAACTCAAGTTTAAAATTTAATGTTTTTTTTCTTTATCCGTTTTTGAGTTTTCTTCAAATTTCGAAATTTACACATTTTCTCAAATATCTTGAATACGGTCCATTTTAGAGAAATTATGTATAGGATAAAAATAGAGAATTATATTACAAACAACTTTTGTTTGAACAATTTTTATAAAAAAATATTTTTTTACATTTTGTCAAATTTCTCCAATACGGTCCATTTTAGGAAAATTTTGTATAGAACAAAAATTTTAGATAATAATATAAGAAGTAACTTTTATTTGAAGAATTTTCTTCCCCAAACGTAAATAACAGATATATTCCATAAAATATAAAAATGACCACCTATAAAGTACCCCCCAGATGTTCCGACACTGACCAAAATCTAATCAGCACATTGGACGCTGGAACAAAGCTTAAGTTTGAAATTTGGTGTTTTTCTGTGTATCGGTTCATGAGTTATGCGACACACACACAGAGACATCATCGCGAAAATAGTCAAAACGGATTCAGGGGACCTCAAAACGTAAAAATCCGTCGAAAATTCAAGGTCGAAAAAAATCATGATTCCTATACTTTCCTTATATCTGTATACAGATAGGAAAGTAAAAATGTTATTCACAAAAATAAAAGCAAAATGATATTCATTCTGACATTACAAAAAATTTCGTAAGTACAGTACACGTTTAAACTAATATACTATTTAATTATTATAAGTATGATTGTATCAGTAGGTACTGTCAAATGCCAAATGAAACTAATAATAAACTAATCAGAACTAAATTAAAAATAGCTTTAATAATGATTCTATCTCGCACAGCATTTTCCAAAAGAAGGTTTTATATTACAAATAACCACTCTCAGTTCTTTGTCTATATTCAGCCGAGAACTATATTTTGTCTTTAAGGATGCCACAGCACTTCCGGTTTTATATAACATGATTTAAATTTGAATTTTAATTAATCCTTTCCTACGTAGATGTAGTTATAATCTTTAACCTCAATATTTTGTCCATTATATCGCAAAAGTCGTTCAGCAAAATAATATACGCAACCATACTTTTATTTTATGTTTTCAATTAAGTTCGTCTGGTAGAAAATAACTGTATTTGTAGAAATATATTGTTAGTTAATCTACCAATTCTATAGCAAGGTTTTATGGGGAATTAAATATTTAACTGTGTAATTAGGGTCGCAGGTACCTACTTGGGATAAATATTTATCGCAAGAATCTGTTAGTGACATTGACCCCGCATAATCTATTATAAATAGATAGGTATATTTACTCCAATTTCCAAATAATGATTGAAATAAATAAGAATATACCTACTGGCTATTTATTTTATTAAAAACATTATAAAAATTTTAAAATATACAGTGTGATATTCTTTTCCAGCAGGAACTTATATATATAACGCTTATGGACATTTTGGATACACGCTAAAAGGTTCAAAAGATAATTCATTAGATATCAACAAACTTTAAAATTTGTATTGAAATGGATTAAAATATTTTCGAGATATTGAATAAAACTTGATTTTTATTTAAAACTTTTATCTTAGAAGCGAAGAGTTTTCGGATATACATTTTTAGAACAAAACTTGTTTATTTTAATGTCCCCTATCACCCTAAAAGTTTGCCAGTCCAGAAATTTATAATATTTTAAATTAAAAATACAAAAGGAACACACGTATGGAAATAAAACAAATATTAATCTATTCAATGGCTTACATTGAACTAGAGAATTCAAGGTAGAGCGTGACATTTTTAAAAATAAAACTATCACGTAAATTTTGGGTTTATATAGAGAGAGACAAGACAGAAAAAAGGATTCTCGAGTTAGGACTGCGGTTAAAAACTCTTGTTTCGGGCTATGTCCAAACTTATAGTTCAATTAGGTGTTCATCTAGTGTCATAAATCTATATACAAAGTTTGGATATATTATCAAATAGTGTTTTATTCCCTAATTATAATTTGAGTAATTTCTTCTTTAGAATACTAGTCACTTTTGTACTTATTTTAAATATACATTTGTTAATTTTTTAATACTTATTATTAATCTCTCCTCCCCCTTTCTAAACCAGGCAAATATTCCGAGCATTTGAGAAGCCTCGGCGTTTCTATTCCCTTAGGTCTAAAAGAGTCTTAAAATAGTTGCCAATAACCGCTCGACTATGCTATTAAGGGATAATTTTTTTGTTTTTTTAATTTAATTTTTCTATTATATTTATTTGCCACTGGGGAATTGATGTTCCTTCTGGACTTCAGGATCCTTTGGCTGGTGACAGTGCTGCCTTAATCCCTTAATAGTATATTAACAACAGTAGTTAAAAAGACCTATCAGTAGTTACAAATGGTTTTTAGGTTAGTCGGTTGTTACATTTAGTGACAAGTGGTGATCTTTAGGCTTCTTGGTTGTTACAACTTTCCAATTATTAGAGGGACTGGTCCGACTATGGGCCATGCATTTAATATGGGCCACACAGACAATTTAGAAAGTAGCCAGCACCATCTACATATTAGTGACATATTAAGAATTCTAACGGTTTTCAAATCATAATTTTATCTTAAACAATAAGAGATATAAGTAAAAGAAAATAGGGCCATGTTATCATTTTGTCGGGCGTACCATAGACTCCTTCCTCGCCTTGAAACCATTCGATGCTGGACCAAATCAATCTTGTAAACATACACATACATCGGATAAGGCGGTCAACTATTCAGCTGTGTTGTATAAATTTATATGAATTGGTACCTAACAAAAAGTCTATACCCTAACCAGGTTTGGCAAACTGCAGAATACAAGAATTTTTACTTTTGAAACATGTATTCTAAAAACTACTAATATGTATAGGTTGTAATATTGTGACGAAAGTCTAATTTATTTAAAGTTTATTTATTTAAAAACACACTATTTACAATTTATTTCAGACGTACTATGTTAATTTATGTAATATTTAGACACTAACAATTCTAATTTATTTCTTACACTTTAACTTTTCAATACAATGTTCTACATTAAACTAAACTCAGCGCGGACACGTCGGCTATTTATATTAGTCCAAATCCGCTACTGGAAAATACGAGAGGCTCTCGAACATTCCTTTTTATGACTAAGCGGCACTCTCCGCCATTCCAGTCGCTTCCAGTGCTTCAGCGGCAGACATTCCGTCGTATTCTTTTACATTCGAGACGCGGTCTGGCTGTTTCCACACGTCAGCGTTGCTTCGATCACGAATTGGTTGCCATGTGAAGGCCGCGTGCGTACACAGGCACAGGGTCGGATTAGGGATATCATGACAATATTGTATAGGTGTAATATTACTAACATAATCGATATATGTTTAATAAATCGATGCATCCCAAAAATGAAATGCGATAAGCTTATTGGGATGTAATATTTTTATAGTATTAATGTAAACACATTTTAGGTGCATGATGAGAAGAAATATATGTAAAAATTCAATTCAGTTTGTAATAACTTGTATCAGTTGTATTTCGAGTCAGAACTTAATTTTTAAAAAGAAATTCTTGTGAAATAATTCTCTTTTCTTTTGTAAACAACATAAATATAACTAGTGTTTTAAAAGTTTTGGACATTTATTTTATAGTTTTCTTGTTAGACGTCATTAAGAATGCAAATAAAATGCCTCGATTATTTCCCAAAAAATCTCGTCGGGGTTGGAATTTCCGAAAAACTAATATGTAAGGTTTTGAGTTATTATTTATGTAGGTATAACGCACAGTCCTATGTAAATTGTAAATATCAAAAATCTATAATTCTAGAATTTTTCAATATGTAATCAAACACGGTATGTGACAAATTTCGCATAATTTTGAATTATTACAAAACAACGGAACAAAATGTGGTAAACAAAATATTATGAGATAAACATCAAAGAACTTTTAATTTATTTTTATGAACCAGGTCAGCCACCAAACTGGAGCTATTATTTAAAAATGTATAGTTTACAAACCATATTCGGTATGATTCAAAAGGAAACGAGAAACACGAGAAAAAAATTATTTTTCTTTCTAGAATTTTCAAATTTCGTCAGTTGCATTGCGTAATTTTTTTAAATTACCTTTATTTTTAATTTAGT